AAAAAAATAAAGGAATGGGATAGCTATAGTTCAATAAAATCGGCAGATGAAAACACCAAAATCAATGATTTTTTTCAGTGGCTGTGTGACCTTGTGTCTGACACATTCATATGCAAATGACTAATCTGTGAAATAAACAGGGGCGGAAACAAACCACTCAAATGTTTGGAAACATTAATTGTGTGTCACATAGCTACTGATAACACATCCTAACATTGCTTTGCCTTGAGTTAATCTTTGAAACTTATAGGCACACAGATTAAACCTGTGTTGTTGATTTTGGAAAACACTACTGAAGCTGCATTGCTTCCCTTCAGAAAATCTACATTTTAACCAACTTACATGACATTCTAGTTTACGTTGACTTTATCAGATGAAAGTTTATAGTGCATTTCATCAATTAATAAATAAATGTGAAAATCGTTATTTTCAACACAAATAATAGTCTCGCTACCTTAAGGGCGGCTTTTAGAATAAAGTTCGTTCACTTGGTTGCATTAATTAAATGACAGCCGAAAGATAACTAGTGGCAAGATTAAAGTTATTTTCACTATGTGTCACCCAGCTTGCTATGTTGGTAAGAACAATTTCAGTAACGTACATTATTTTTCATTTATATATATTTTGCTTAATAAAAAAATTGGGTCAATATTGTTTTTTTTTCTTCAAATTTGTTCTCATGTGCCTCCCCCATTGGACTAAATACATGCGGTACGCAGATAATACTTATAAGCATTATATTTGTAGTATAACGTACATATGAATTGTTTGAGTAAGGCTGTACAGCGCCACCATGAGGTATAGTCGATGATACGATACATACATATTCAGTAAAAGAGGGCACTGTTTTTATTCCTAGACTATCTTTATCTGTGGTGGAAGCATAACGGATAACAAAATTTAATGAGAAAGCATAATCTATACTTAACTTCAATTATTCATACAAATTACACTACAGCATGAAATGCGGTATGCGGTGGTTGCAGCACGCAGGAGCCACACGCGTTTATTACAACGTTTATTTATCCCCCCTTACATATGTAAATACACAAAATTGATGCCAAAGCCCCATCGCGAATACATCGACCGCCCAGGAAAAACCAGATATAAAAACCCGTCAAGGGAGAAAAACATCTGGAAACCTGTACCCGACGCAATGTCAGATGTACCTAGGGGTGGACGTCGGGAGTCGTCCATATTAAGAATACTATACATTTATAAAAATAAAATAAAATAATACATCGTGAATTGTTTGCAACCGAGACTGAATACAATAGAATACTCTTCTCACTATATACTCATGAGCACCTGGCTACTTAGCCACTAACCAATCAGAGCAGGTGCAATGGCACCTGAATAATTTACATACGAATAGATAGCAATTATCTGCTAATCTACGAAACGCAGATAATTTCTCATTCTCGGGTGTAAGGGGTTGTTGGATAATCGTATCAATTGAATATATAATGTAATTTTTTGTGTTAGCATATCTTATATCATATACCACACCAACGTTTGATGCTTTCTTTTTCTTGAATGCCTGTGATACTGATTTAATTTGCTGATTTGATATCGATATTGATATCTGCGAGTAAATAAGCACTGACGTCATAATGTAGCTACCATGTACGTCATCACATTACAGACGGCATATCCGCATATCCGGAATGTCTTTCCACACTACGTCGTTTCAACCACACTCGAAATATTTGTAATTTTGTTCAGATCATCGATTGTTGCATGTGACACAGGCAACAATGTTACGTCAGTGTGTCCATTGAACGGACAATAGTTTTACAAAGTGGGTCGACGAGAAAATGAGTGATTATTGATGAGTGTACATCAATAAACGTAATTGTTAATAGCTGACAAATCAAAGTCTTTGGATCAGGTAGTTGGCAAATGACGAGTTGAATGGATGGTTTAAAGCGGGAGAGTCATCGCATGCGCATGCGTCAGGTGGTCATAGCGTGTCATTGTTCACAAACCAGCGTCTACCTACGATCCTTTGCGTATTTAGCGTGTGTTGTTACCGTCGCTTGGAACTCAATTCCCGCGCATGCGCAGGTGACGACCCTCCCGCCTTAACGTATTCAACAAACGAATGCGGGGAATACACGCTATAATTGCACATGAATTTGTTGTGTCAACAATATATATAGCGCCACCATCTAGTAAGTGTTGTTGATACGATAAATACAACTAGTGAATGCGTGCCAATTCGTGATGAAAAGTGAGAGGGCGTTGTACAAAGCTGTTGTTATCGTAGATGAACCAGGATGCAACATATAATGCAGCAGCGCATTTTCAGGAGTTTTTTGATGGCAATTATAAACAAGAATATGTCATTTGATGACGTGAATATCAAAAGAATCAAATCAAAAGAATTACCTCAATAACAACTGTTATAATAATAAACGCATACACATATGACAATATATATATATATATATATATATATATATATATATATATATATATATATATATATATATATATATATATATTAACATAATAAAAGTTCAGTCTAGCCAATGGAACGAACTCCCATTAAAAAAATCACTTAGCAACACAATAGCACATTCATTGGTTCAGTGTCATGTGTGTTGTTATCTAACAATGCCTGTAGTAATGTTAGTGTACTTACTAACAACATCGTTTACATATAAGGAAGAGTAATATTGTTTTCACCATGGTCATAATAGTTGTTGGTGACGAAATCGTGGCTAGGTCATTAAACATATAACATAGATATGCAAATTGGAGTAGCAGCCATCAGCTGATGGCACGTCATCAACAGTATATCAGCGAGTGACTGGGAATGCCTCAATACATTATTGAATGATACGACGGCGTACCAGCAACGACCGAGAAGGCAGTATTTCGATTGAAGTCACGTATTGTTGAAAGGCGGTATCAGCTACGCTATAATCTTACTGTATTATCTGCATGGATTGCGGTTTTACGCTGTGTGCTCCGACAATAATAACGGATTGAATACCGGTGAGTGATGGTACGTTTGCTATGTACATCGATTTCAATAAAA